AAAAAAAAAAAAAAAAAAAATCAATTTTCTTTTGGCTGGATAACAAACCTTTTCAATCCACTCCTAATCCTAAATCTTGAAAACGAGCAGCTTCGTCGCATCAATGGCGGCCGTCACTTCAGTATCATTAGCTGCCGTAACTCAGTCCGCCGACCGGAAAATCTCGGGTCCGTCAGCTCGTAATTTTCTAGCGCTCAATAATCTCCGGTTGACCCACAGTTCGTGTAGCTTCCGGAGATGGAGCTCGAGTTCTCGTATGGTAGTTCGTTGTATGTCCACAGCCACAGGCAAGTGTGTGGCAGTCTCTTTTGCGATTTACTTATTTATTCCTTCATTTATTTTTATTTTTATTTTTTGGGTTGAATTTGGTGTTAGATTCTGTTAATTGTGGTTGCTGCATTTGTGATTGCTGAAGTTTTTTGACATATGATGTGACTAGAAAATCAGCATTCAGTGTAAGTCTTTTTCGTTTTCACCTATTGTCTTTGTGTGAAGGTAAATAAATATCAGATGTGTGTGATTTTATGTTGAATTGGGAATAATTTAAGCAGTCATATACAGGATGGGTTCTTCTGTAATGTTATTGAGATTATTCAGCATGATTTCATTAAGTAAAGACGTCTTTAATCCTTACACATATCGAGGTTTGAGATCGTGCTATGAGATTTATGAATTCTTCGATTAAACATGTTAATCTCTTTGCTTTCAGTTATTTCATCAACTAATTTGCTCTTATCTCTTAAAGCTTTAGAACTGAGTCAAAATTTGCCCTTTATGCTCATTGCTTGCAGACCCGCCGACAGTTTCTGAAACAAAGTTGAATTTCTTGAACGCATATAAGAGACCGATTCCTAGTATATACAACACAGTGTTGCAAGAGCTGATTGTACAGCAACATTTGATGAGGTACAAGAGGTCATATTATTATGATCCCGTATTTGCACTTGGTTTTGTTACCGTGTATGATCAGCTCATGGACGGATATCCTAGCAACGAGGACCGAGAGGCCATCTTCAAAGCATATATCGAGGCTCTAAATGAGGATCCTGCTCAATACAGGTTCTTGAACATTGGATATGGATTTGATTGGTTTTTTTTAACCGCAGTTAATTTCGAAAAAGGTGGTATGGTTAGTTGTTAGTGAGAATTTAAGTTTAAATTAAAATATTATTTAAAATAAAATAATTAAAGTTGATTTGATGTAAAAGTAGGAGAAAAATGATTGGAAGTGATGGTTAGTTAAAATTATGTGAGCAGATGAATAGTGAATTAAAGTTGATGTAATGTGTAAGAATGATTGGTTGATATTATTTTAATTGTATTGATAATATTGAGGATAGTGGAGTTGGGTTAATGTTGAGTTAAATTTGAGCTTTGATTGGTTTTTTTTGGGTGAGTTTATAACCAATCACACCCTTAGTATTTGTTATGTGTTTTTTCCAATTCACATGTGATAGACATGAAGGAATGTATATCATTCTTTCACGAGGTGGTATATTGACTCTATGTTGAGATTGAATCGCGTGATCGTGCATGTAAAAGGGATTTATAATTTATACATGGTCGAATCGCAATGTGAGAACTTTACGTTAGACTGGAAAAAGAACTGTTCTTTTGCTTCTTTTATGCCTGTACTTTTTTCTTTCCTTTTGTTTTTGTTAAAAAAGTTGAATAACAGCGACCAATTTGTTGCATTAAAGCAAGTTTTGTGATTCAGGGCTGATGCGCAGAAGTTAGAAGAGTGGGCCCGTACCCAGACAGGGAATTCGTTGGTAGATTTTGCATCCAGAGAAGGAGAAGTTGAGGACATTTTGAAGGACATATCAAAAAGAGCAGGGAGCACGGGAAGTTTCAGTTACAGCCGGTTCTTTGCTGTTGGTCTTTTCCGCTTGATTGAGTTAGCAAATGCGACTGAGCCAACTGTCTTAGATATGGTAATATCCGCGTGACTCTTAAGATTAATTTTCAGGGATTTGGTTTGAAAGGAAGCCAAATTATGAGACAAAGGAAGCCAAATTATGGGAAATGCTTCTCATATTTGAGGGCCTTCATACCCCTGTATAGCTGCTTATTTAAATCCCTTTGATCTAACATATGCATACATATTGATCGGCACATGCACATTTTGAAAGAGTGAAACTTAGCCTTTATGAAACACTTAGACATCAAACCTTAGATGATTATTTTGAGGATGATGATTATTTTGAGGAAGATCCAGAGAAGTCGCTTTGCCGGACAGTCAAGGGTCTCCTCGCTCGACAGGAAACCTAATAGAATGGGCTACTTCTTACGGTGGGACAAAAGACAATACAATAAAGATTTATTAAAATGTTAGAAAAAAACGATTTTTTTATAAAATAAAATATCTGTTCAAATGAATTGAAATTCCATTTGTCAGCAGTCGGAGATTGTATTTATGAGAATATAGTAACCTCTTTTTTTCATTTTCAATCTTGTTTGGTTGAACTAGCATCTTGAGTCTGTGGGAATAAAATGGTGTACTCTTCTTTACCGAAAACAACTTACGGTTTGCAATTATGTGTCTGCTTTTACTTTGTTAGGAGCATCATGTCGTAAAAACAGGAACAAAGAAATGACACCTTTTTTCTTAATTCCTCGTCACATGGTCCTCAATATCTTGCAGACTTTTTTGTTTAGTATGCTTACTGTTGATATGCTTCTTCATGACTTGGCAGCTTTGTGCTGCACTAAATGTAAATAAGAAAAGCGTTGATAGAGACCTTGATGTCTACCGCAATCTTTTATCCAAGCTGGTTCAAGCAAAAGAGCTATTAAAAGAGTATGTAGAAAGGTATAGTGGTTTCCCCTTTGAATTTCCTTATGACAGCACACGCTATGATTTGAGAATATTGGGAAAGCAGCTAAATGAACTAATATATGAGTTACTATATATGATTCTATGAAAAGTCAATTGAGAAACTTTTGTTTTCCTCCTAATATTTCACACACTTAAATATAATAGCTCGTAGAGCTTCCCGTTAACATGAGTTATGTTTCCTTATCCTCAGGAATTGCTTTAATTCTGCATTGCATTGAACATCCTTTAAGTCGGTGTTTGTGTATTTGTATTTCAGAGAAAAAAAAGAAAATAGAAGAAAGGGAAACATCTCAAAAAGCCAATGAGGCTATCACAAAATGCTTGGGGGAGTATCAATTTTCCGTGCGGTAGTCTCTTTTTCACCCAAACCACCTATGGATGTACTGCAAGATTTAAAAAAAAAAAAATTGGATTTCATTTTACTTCCGGAAGTACATACAAGCATATTTGGATTTAAGCTGTAGGCATTAAAGAGTTCATATTCATATGACTTGACGCATTTCGTGAGGCACATATGTGAGGACTCGCTTTGAAGAACGTTATGATAGGCTTGCTCGTAATTTTCTTCTGTAATATATCTCGTTATGCAACACTCTTAGACAATTCACTCGTCTGTGTTACCTTATTGTAAAAGTACGATTTCTAATTTTTCTAAGTTGAAGCCATCTTGTACCCTTTATCTGAGTCTGGATATTTGATTACAAACTTGATGTTCACATAACCATACAACTTCTGCAGTCTTATGCTCGTAATACTCGACAGTTCGTCGTGGTTTTTTTTTTTTTTTT